ATGAGCATGTGGAGAGAAGAGGGTCCATGCACATTGTTGGTAGAAAATGGACAACTGGTCTGAAAGATAAGCAGATTCAACAATTGCACTTCTAGATATATGTCTTTAAAGGAAATAAACATCAGTCTTTCAAAAAAAAAATACCTGCATCAGGTTCTTTGAAACTCTACCTGGAATCAACCTAAGAATCCATAATGTGTGAATTAATTTTAAAAAGACAGCAATGGAATATTAGTCTTATTTTGAAAGTAAAGAAATCCTACCATTCATAGCAATATAAATAAATTTGAAAGACATTATGATGAATGCAATAAGGCAGAAACAATCAGATTAATGCTGCATGATCTCCCACTTGGGATCTAAGAGACAAACTCAGAACCAGGAAAGTTGAACAGGAATTTGTAGAGGCTCAGAGGATAGGAAATTAGGAATCAATCTATCTATCTTAAGACCCAACAATACCACTTTTCAGCATATACCCAAAGGATACACACTCACACCACAAGGGCATTTGCTCATTTATGTTCAGAGCAGCATTATTAGTAATAGCCAGAACCTGGATGCCCCTCAAACAAAGCATGGATAAGGAAAATGTGGTACATTTACGTAATGGAGTACTACTCAGTGGTATTAAACACTGACATCTTGAAATCTGCCGGCAAATGGACGAAACTAGAAAAAGCAATCCTGAGTGAGACAAGCCAGACCAAGAAAGACAAAAGTAGTACATACTCACTCGTGAGTGGATATTAGACATAAAGTAAAGAACAACTAGCCTACAGGCCACAACCCTAGGGAACACAGGTAACAAAGAAGACCCTAAGAGAGACATACATGGATCTGCCTAGGGAGAGGAAAGAGACAAGATCTTCTGAGTAAATTGGGACCATGTTGGGGGGGGGGTGAAACAGAAGAGGGGAGGAGGGAAAGGGGATGGGGGAAATGTATAGCTTAAAAAAAATGACAAGAAAAGACTAGGAGATGCACAGCAGGCAAGGTTATCAGGAAGTAATACCAGGTCCCTGAGCTCCTGCAATGTTAAGGCTGTAGCATTGCATTTAACCAGTGTCTGCCATCCCCAAAGAAGCACTTGAGTGTGTGGCATAGCCATGCTTTTGTGACTATCCTCAGCCAAGCCAATGCTTCAAAACTGGTCTAAGTCCATGTTACCTTCTGTTGGGGTTTGGTCAATGTTTCATTTCTCTCTGGTGAACTCTTCATGTCTCTTCCTGAATCATATGCCACGAGCCTGAAGAGCAGCCTAGAGTTTAATTCTTTAATTCTGATACAGATCTCTTTAACTCATTCTGCATTTCCTTCAAATCATAGAGAAATAAATTATTGATCTTACATGAAATGGATATGGAGGAAAAATAATATATTTAATGCAGTGTTTTAAGGCTGTTCAGCATAATTAACTTTGACATGAATATTGATTTTTCCTTACTAAACTTTGGGTAACTCTAACTCTGATGCCATTTTAAGTGGGAATATAACTAGAACCAATGTCAACTTTGTAAATTATCTACACAGCATTTTGATTTGGAGTTTAGCATGGTATTTTGATGCAAACTAACCATAATGGTGAACATATCCACTTTATTTTGAAGTGCTGAAAGTCAATTATTGTCATTGTGCTGATAAAGTTCTAAGTGGAGCTCTCAGGCCATTGAGGGCAGAAACAGTGTCATCTGCTTTATGTTTTGCATAGTGTGCTCTCAGTGAAAAACTATCATGACAGAATCTATAATAAAATTTAACAACAGAGTGGAGGTAGATATCTCAGTGGTTAAGAGCACTTACAACTCTTTCAAAGGATCCGATTTCAGTTCCCAGTATTCATATTGGGTGGCTCACAGCCACCTGTAACTCCAGTTCCAGAGGACCAGCTGCCCTCTTCTGACATACACAGATATTGTTCACACTTTGTGATGGTTTGAATAAGATATGTCTCCCATAGTCTCAGCCATTAGGACACTTGGTCCCCACTTGGTGACGATGACACTTTTTGGAAAGATTTATACAATGGAGGAAATATGTCCCTGGGGGTGGTCTTAGAGAGTAAAAAGCCTTGTATGCTTTCAGTTCATCACTGCTTTGTGCTTGTTAAACATGTGATCTCTGGGTTTCCTGTTCCTACAGCCATACCTGCTACTTGCTACCATGCTCTGCTCCACTCATCTCGAACTGTAATCTCAAATAAACCCTTTCTTCTATTAGTTGCCTTAGCCATGGTGTTTTAATTCCCCAACATAAATGTAACTAATACATACTTGGTGCCCATGTATAAATTCAGGCACTATACACGTGAAATAAATTAAAATCTTTTCAGAAAAGTAAAATGTAATAATAATGGTAAGAACAAGACAAAATACCCAGATAAACATTTGTCATTACCATGATCATTTTTAGTCTCCTTAACTGAGATTCTCTCTTCCCACAGTGACTCTTGTTTGTGCCAAGTTGATAAAAAATAAACATTACACACACACATTTCTACTGGTTTATGCTATATATGAGCACTGGTAATCATGAAATCAAAATGCCTATTAGCTCTGAAAATGCTGAAGATGCTCTACATATAACAGTCTCAAATATTTGATTCTTTAAGTTAAAATAAGTACACCTATCATACTAGTATGAGAATTTGCTTTTGTCTTTAGTAAGTGCTTAAATTATATGCATATCAAAGAATCCATTTCAAATAGATGTCTTTAATTTATATGCCCAGACTCACATAAAATTTCTTGTGGTGAGGAACTTAACAAGCCCTGAAACTGACAACAACTCTCTGCAACTTTTAACTACATGGACCAGAGCATCACACAGTGTTGTATTCAAGAGCCTGCTCTTCCAGCCTCTATTGTAAAGCATTTTGCTTCTCTCTGTCTTCATGTCCTGTCTACCGAGAAAGAGTTTATCTTTCTGCTGAGCTATTGTAAGTGTTGACTGTGATACTCAAAGGAAAGAGCTCAGCAATGTGTTTGGGGCATAGCGGGAGAAAAACACACATGCTAAAGCCGGAGCCTGTATGCCTTTCTCAAAAGCTGTGCTTCCCCTGCCTCAGCAGTCTGCCTTCTCTTCCATGCTTCCCTTAATTTATCAGTTTTGCACAGTTCAACTAGTATTTCTTCTCCAGATGACAATATCACAAGAGGAGTTGATTATATTTGTATCTTATCCTTCTAGTCTATAAATAGACTCTTTAAAATCCATCCATACTTACTAAACTATGTCACCACAGAATCCAATTGTTTTTTCACAGTAGATATTGTATATTAATATTCACAATGTACCTATCTTTCCCTGCCCTATGATACCCTGAATGCTAGTAATTATGTGCTTTTATCTTACATGGGGCCTACTCTATATAAGGACAGATTGAGAAAGGCAGATATGTATGGAAGAAATAGCTGAGCTCTGATGCTACCACTTGTGTGGATATTCTAACATAGAGTAGCAAGGCAGGTACTGAAGAGTAAGGAGAATAAGGGCCTGAAATATCATGTTAAGCCTGGGTTATCTCCTTGGAGGCAAAGTACAAGCCTTGTTCGATCACTGTAGAAGGCAATAACTAAGGGTAAAGAATACAGAGTCCCCTGGTCCATGTTTACTTCAAAAGATAGATGACTGACTCTCTGAAGTAAGTGCCATCATATCATCTCAGAGTTTCTCAGAAAATAGTTCCTGAGAAGTGGTTTCAGACGTGCTGCCCAATCCTTATAATTAGCAATGACAAAGTGCACATGCTTGTTCAGTTGTCTTGTGAAGCGTGGCTATTTTTAGGTATTACTCTGACGCAATTTCATTTCCTGTTGCTGTGATAAACCACCCCAACAAAAGCAACTTAGTGGTGAAAGGGTTTATTTGGCTTATAAGCCAAGTATACTTCCAGTGAATCTCATTGTCTGGAAGTCAAGGAGGCAGACACAAGAATAGCTAGTCACATCATATCTATAATCCACACCACCAGAAAAGCTAGGAAACAAGGATGACCCTAAGAGAGACATGCATGTATTCACCCCACCCAGAAGGAGAAAGGGACAAGATCTCCTGAGTAAACTGGTAACATGGTGGGAGAGGGAGGGAGGTAAGAAAGACTCTGAGAAGACCATGAGCAGCATACTTGGTGTTATAAGGTTTTATCACTTGGTCCCTTCAAGATTGCTTCTTGTTGTGCCCTCACATGGTGGAGGGAGTAAAGCATCTCATTGGGTTCTTTTATAAGGTCACTAATCTAATATATGAGGGCTCTTTCTTTTTTATCTCAGTACCTTCCAAAGACGTTATATGCTAATATCACCCTATTAGTGATTAGGGTTTCCACATTGCGTTGAGTGGGGACACAGACATTCAGATCATAACAAATTCTATAGGAACATTCTATAGGAATATGACAAATTATGTCTATTAAGTCTAAGAATGCAAAAACCAAAACTAAACACCTGATGGACTAATGTAAAAAGAATAGCTGACCTATAAAGAAATATTTCTTTACCAGTTCATGTGTTCGTAAAAGCCTTCTGAATAGCTGAATGCAATAAGGCTATAAGATGTCCCTTGTTTAAGCCATTAACCTTTTGGAGCAGAAAAATTAAGGTTAAGAATTAATCAATCCAGCAGAGCTCCCCAGCAACTGGGTACCACAGGGTTAATGAGTAGGAGTACGGTAGGTGGGGTTACAAACCAGGAACACATGCCTTCTAAGTTTGTTTTCTGTTTAATTGCCCGTAAAACACACACTCTCTCTCTCATATAGCACAGAAGGTGAAAGCCAATGAAGTTTTCTGAGTAATGGCTTGAAATGTTTTCCTTCTGAGAAGTGGTGTTGAGTTACAGCATGCAGGGAACTGGGAGGGAATAAGCGGCAGCAGGCAGCACCATCCTAGCCCCCACCTTTTCTTGGGCTTGAAGGATGGTGGACATGGCCCTCTAAGACAAGAGGCAGTGAATTGTCTTGTTGCTGCAGCAGACTGCTCTGCCAGTCACCTGGGGCCAGTGTTTGCTATGGTTTAGCCGGGGCCAGTGAGCAGGCATAGATACTTTGCTGTGAAATGCCACGCAGGCAGAGAGTGACAGGCAGTCAGTAGGAACCATGCTTTTTCCCCTTGGATGGCTGTTTCCTGCTAGGTTCAGGAGATCGAGGGCCTGGCTCCCGCTGTTGCTGCTGTCTCAACTCTCTCTCCATTCCAGGTAAGCCGACTCAGAGGGCAAGCCTTTGTACAATGAACAAGATCCGAAAGTTTTTCCGAGGAAGTGGGCGCGTCTTGGCATTTATATTTGTAGCTTCTGTCATCTGGCTGCTCTTTGACATGGCAGCTCTCCGCCTCTCATTCAGTGAGATCAGCACTGGGGTACTCAAAGAACACATCAGGAGGAGGGAGCAGACAGGATTCAAAGTCCAGCCAAACCGAATGAAGATCCGTCACTCCAGCATCACAGGGATGAGGCTGCCCCAGAACAGGCTAGAGGACCACACACTCAAGAATGAAGAGAATATGGACCAAGTCCAGAGAAGGTGGAAAATGCAGATTTCCCTGGGAAGGGGGAAAGTTATGCCTTTGTGGCACCCTGCACATTTGCAAACCTTACCAGTGCCTCTCACCATGCAGAAGACAGTGGGGAGAGACAGCAAGCCTGAAGCCTCCTCCCAGCACATGTCAACCAAGCAAACAACAGTTTTGTCACAGAGGACCCCATCCACAGCATCAAGAGGAACTCCACTGACCACAATTCCAGTACACACAAAAACATTTGCTAAAATCCAAGAGGCCTCAAAGAATCATACTCTCAGCAGTAATGCATCAAAGACACTGAATATGACTATCATTGTCAGGACTGAGCCATCAGAGCATCAATCACAGACAGTAACAAAATTGAAGACACGCTTTGTCAGCCCACCAATTCTGGAATATGGGGAAGCCATAGCCATAAAGAAGACTGAACTAAACCACAAAACTCATAAAGTGCTACCTCTTTCTAAGTTTGTTGCTGATGCAAGTCGTTTAAACAGGCAAATGGTGAACAAAACACAGCTGAGAGGCTTGTCAGAAGATGGTGTGGCCAAAGTGGCCCCAGAGAAGAAAGTTAGTTTCTCTGAAAGTCAGATTGTGATTATAACCAAAGAGGAGGATCTGGGGACAGATACTAAAAAGGTATCTGACTCTAAAACCCTAACTGTCATTCCTAAATTACTGGGTGCAAGCCAAGGGAAACACATCCCTGGGAATCAAAGCATGACATCTTCCTCTCTACTAGCTCCACAGAGATCAGTGTCTCAAGCCAAGCTGGCTTTAGCCAGGGGACTCCATCCAGCAAGAAGCAACTTGACTTCCAAGTCCCAGACTGTGGGACACCAGCAAAGCCACACAAACACCTCTGAAAACCCTGGAAGGCACCGTGTGCTCAGAATTGATTTGACCCTTTCTCCAAGGGATCCCAATGCTCCAGGTCAATTTGGGCGCGCTGTGGTTGTTCCCCCTGGAAAGGAGAAGGAGGCAGAACGAAGATGGAGGGAAGGAAACTTCAATGTCTACCTTAGCGACTTGATTCCAGTAGACAGAGCCATTGAAGACACAAGGCCTGCAGGGTAAGACCCATTTCTTTTCTCTTTACTTGAAGCCAGCATTGTGCTGTCCTGTATAGAAATATTTATTGAAGCTTAAATTTGTGTGAATTTTGGCCATAGAGAATTAATTTGAACTACTTGCCAATAATTACTCGATGCTAGCAAAATAGTCTACCATGAACACAGAAAAATAAATCTGATGTCAGAAATGCACTGCACTCTCTTCCTACGCTCTTATTTTGGGTCCCCTCCTGAGGTTCTATTTTCTTCCACTGTGAAAAAATCTGTGTAAATGAGTAGAGGCTATGTCTTGGTAGTAAAAGCATAATTCAATTATAATAGTGACAGTGGAGTAAATTATCATGTTGGAAGTTTTCATTGTTTACAAGCTTGTCAGGGGTGTATCTGGGAAATGTTGGCATATTCACTGAAAAGACATCTCATAGTCTCATAATTCTTCCTGAAATTAAATCTTAAATATGAATAACCATGAGTAATGATGGACTAGGACAAAGGAGGAGATGACTTAATCTCAAAGCTTAAAAGTCCTTTTGTTGGTGAGAATAGCAGACCTTCGTGGACTCAGTCGCTGGGAGGCAGTAATGCTGGGAAAAGTCCATCAATAAGCAAATGCCTGTAGGAGCTTCAAGGCCATGCTAACAATATCCTACTAACAGCGTTTCTGCATTTTCAGGAGTCTACTAATTCATAGGTGAACTCCATGACCCTGAGAAAAGAGAGGGCAGGCATTGTGCCCTGACAATAGGTGAAGGCACCCACGTAGTGTTCCTTTTTTTTTTTTTTTTATTCTTTCTATTAAAAGTGTATCACCTGCCTATAGGTACTGAACTTCTATAGATTCCCAATGGACCCTGATGATCCAGCTATACAAACAATTAAACTCCTTACCTCCATCATCAGAAGGTGTATCCAGTCACAGACACAATTCAAATTCAGACTGTGACTCTCTTTGGTGCATTTGTAAGTGAGGGTACTTGTAGCCATATGTTTATTATCCATTAATTAATAATATAGCTCTGGTTGCAATTTGATTTTAAGTTCCCTAAGCAAGCCAGTCTGGAAGCTGGAATCCACAATGGCAAGATTGAGACTCTGCACATGTGTAGTACATAAACAATGGTTTTCTTTGGCTTCTTCAGGAACTGTTTTGTTTGTTTGTTTGTTTGTTTGTTTGTTTGGAACATAGGAAGTAGGGGCAAGGTTTTGAACATGGTTGTTAGAAAGAAGACAAGTACAGATGAACCTTTTCTCATGGTATCAAGAGTAAAGTCTGCACTATGATGTCAGCCACAAGAAAACAGTTCAGAGTCTTAGCCACTGACACTTAGCTATTGGCCATGTGCCACTGGACAATTTAGATGAAACACTGTGCCACTCATACTCTTCAAACTGGTGATGCATCGTAAAGAACACTGTAGCATTCCCAGAGGAGGAAAATGAGGTCCTAGGAGCTTAAATTTTCTCTGATCATTGACCTAGTTCTTTGAAGAGAAACGATTAAAATTCACATTCCCAATTCCCCTTCTTTTTCCTGTCTCTCTTGCATTATCTCCCAAAAAGGGATTCTAAAAATTATGTTAGACCAGCTATAATATGAAATCCTGTGTGTGGCAGTACTGCACACTAACTACAACTTCACACAAGTGCTGGAAAATGAAGTCTCTTTGAAGGCAGCTTTGTTCAAGAGTGCCCAGCAGATTGCTACCAGCCCAGGAAAGAATCGGTCAGGACACAGAGCACCGGCTCCAGCTACAAGTAGGAAAAATTCGGAACAGTGTGTGAGGCTAAAAGCAAGCACGGATGTTGTCACTCTGCTGATTTATTGAAGGCTCTATGGCTCCCAGAGCTTGTTAATTTATAATTTAGTTTGGAGAAGTGGAGTCCTGAAGGCCTCCCAGGAGAGCCACAATCAGACTCTGTCTTCTGCAGGAGATTGTCCCGCTGTTCCTGAAACTGACACGTGTGCTTGAGATGATGAGTCAGAGCATACATGACCAAGTCCTCTCCCTCTTGCCACACAAACCACCTTGGCTAAATATAGGTGTGTCTCCTGGAAAGCTGCCTGGCTGATGTTCTGCCCCCACCCCAATCCGATGGAGACAAGCTAGCCATAAGAAACCTACATGTGAAACCCTCCCCTCCCAAAGGATTTCTGGCCCTTTTGTGCCACGTTTCCTTAAAGGGGGATAAATGATTTTTTCTTTTCTTTTATTCAAATTTTGAGTATAAATATTTGCAAATCATGCATTCATTTGAATGTCTAGAAGAAAATACAAATGAAAAACATGTGGGTTTTTTGTGGGGCATAGGCAAGATTTGAATCAGGGGTTTGTGTGTGTGTGTGTGTGTGTGTGTGTGTGTGTGTGTTTTAACTTTGATATTTTTCTTCAGCTTTGATCATAATGTATCTGAAATAATATTTAAGGTAATAAATTTTAGTCATCTTCAGAAAATTCTTAAAAAACATAGTAAGAAAATATATGCATGTACTATGTGGGGTGCTCAAAGAGAAGTGAGGACCACTGTAACCTTTGGATTTCAGAACTTTAGTAATAGCTCTCTGATGTTCATATTTGGAAACAAAATTGCTATTATAGATTAATTAACACAGTAAGTGCCTTATCATAACTTCTGTTGAATACAGACTGAAAGAGGATTAAGAGAATAGGTTTGCAATGTTCCTTTTGACTTTATCCTCTCAGAACAGATAATGACTAGTTTCTAGTTAATGATTTAAGGCTAAATGAACTGATATGCTATGACAAGTTTGACATTAAGTAGAAGAGACAGGCAGGGTTGCCCATGAACAACTTCTACTTTAGCTTTAAAATTGGTCTCTTTTCCAAACCAACTCTTTAAGCCTTTTCCTTCCAAACCCCAGAGAGACATTTCTAACATGCTACACAGTCTCAAGCTCTTATACAAAAACAAAGGACACCTCTCTGCCACCAGCATTGCTCATACTATTTTCTTAGGGCCATCTATGTTTCTCCCTACGGTAGTAGGTATCTGGTCTGGTATACATGCTGTGTCACCCAAGGTAAGCACTCAACATAGGGGAAGCCAGTCTCATGGCACTTAAAAAGATTCTAGGTGGTGTGTGTGTGTGTGTGTGTGTGTGTGTGTGTGTGTGTGTGTGTGTGTGTGTGTGTTATAGGCTTAAAGTTGACACTGGATGTCTTCAGTTGTTCTCTGATTCATTTATTGGGTCAGGTTCGCTGGCACAACCCACAGCTTTCTGACCCAGCTTGTTCAGTCAGCTTGCCCTGGGGATTGTGTTTCTGCTTCCCCAGTGCTGAGATTACAGGCAGCCACCACTTGGTGAATGTGGGGATCTAAACTCCCCATGCTTACAGAGCTTGATCTTCTCTGCGGAGCCACCTTCCCAGCTAACAAGACTATGTCTTCTATATGTTATCCTCCTGACTATCCCCTGCTGGTTAATTAGCTGATTTCTTCATAGTCTCCCTCTGCACTCTGCTTACATAGCCTCACTATTTTCTCCCTCACATGCTAATCCAATATCACTCAAAATCCTAGTGTACCATACCTTGGCCTGGGCCATGACATAACTGTGACCACTATTGGAAAATAGTGTTGAATGGATGCAGACTTCTATTTGCTCAAGCACTTTCATTCTTTACTAACAAGAGCATCTTTTGGCCTTCTAGCTAAAGTTACAGACTTCTATAGAAAATATTTTCAACTTTACTTCATTGTTCCCTAGGATACAGCACAGAGCTGAGCATTCCAAAAACAAAGGTTTAAACAATACTGACTTTAAAAACATATTTCTCTGTAATGGGTTTTGTAAACTAATGCTATTGTTAAACAATAAGTGAATGAGAGGAATTAATTCATATGAAGTTTATAAGCCACTGTAAATTCATTGTTGCTTTCTGACTTTTTATGTTGAATATGAAGAGTATATTATCATTTGGTTTAAGGTAACTAAGTTCTGTTTTAATTAATTCATGTTTATTCATTAGCTAATTTTTGTTCTTTTAGTTTTAATTTTAATGTTCTGACTTTCAAGTGAGGGAATTGCTCTGTTTAGATATTTTTCATCAAGAAGTAAAATAGAATTTCATTTTTACCTAGAATACTTATAAAATATACCTAAAATCAAATGTTTTTTACAGTCACTTTAAACTGCCATATTCAATCTTTTAAAAGTAAAACAAACAAACCTAGTCATTTAGGTCCTTCTTCTTAGTTCTTGAAGTGTGTTTGCATTAGCACTAGTCAACATACACACACATTTCCCATACTACCCATATACATATACCACACACAAACCCCCCTACCCTCCACCACACGCATACACTCTTATGTGTTCCTAGGCCAAAGTTCTCTCTATCTAAAATAGGTCAGTTCTATTTGGGAAAGTCTTTCTCTGGCCTAAATCTATGGTTAAGATGGAACTCCAAAAATGAACTTATTTAAGAGTGCACTTCCTGAATTTGAACTTGGAAAAAAAAATACTTAAAGGAATTTTTGCTGCCAGCATTTAGTTATCAAAATACAGTAAGAGTTGGGGCTGGAGAGCCGGCTCAGCAGTTAAGAACACGTGGTACTCCTGTGGATGACCCAGGTTGAAAACTTAGCACTTGTATGGTGATTAACAACCATCTGTAACTCTGAGTCCTGGGGAACTGATGTCCTCTTTTGACCTACAGGGGCACCAGGCATACATATGGTGCATATACATATATGCAGATAAAACACTCATAGACATGAAACAAAATTTGAAAAATCTTAGTCATGATGCAAATATTATAACTTTATTCAACAGCCTACCTTAATTCTGGGTGTTCCCAAGGAACTCTGCCAAATTTTCCCATGAAGTCATTTTGCTGTTGTAGTTGAGAGTCAGGACTGTCAACCAATACCTTGGTTCCTTCCTATCCAGAAAAGAAGGGGTTTCTATTGGCACTCATGAAAGTCAAAAGCTAGCACTGGGGATTTCCTACAAACCTGCCAATATTACTGAGGGAAAA